AACATTATTCCCTTTACCCTAACAACAAGCACCTGCTATGCAGGATAGACATTGAAAGAGCAAAAAAGCAAAGAGAAAAGTCAATATTACAATAATTGCTTTTGAATCGTATTTGCTTCATTTAAAATAAAATGCTTTAGGCTATACAGTAGTATTCACATTTTTTTTAATTAAGTCATATTTTAAAAAGTTTGCTTACCATCAGAAAGGACAGTACAAAGGCTTAAGATATCAATCTCTGCCTTCCCACCTCTAAAGAAAGATTTTTCCTCTGGGGTAGGTAGAGACTTATAAGTTCTTTTAGCCTGTTCAAGTCTCCCCTGCATAAAATATTTAATAACCAGAATTTTGATTAAGTTAAGTTTAACTGGCCTAACACACACCTCATCATCAACTGACAACAAATTGGTCAGTGAACAAGGTTAAAAGTGGCTATGAAGGAGCTATCACATGGTGAAATTAAATCTGAGTTGCCAAAACCAAAAATGGGAATTCTCAATGACATTAACAAGTTATTCACGAGAATAAGTAAAAGGACATCAATCCTGCAAAAACACTTATTCTCACAAAATTTTGCAAACATAAACTTACTTCTTGAATTTCTTCAAGAATAATTGATCATTTAATATCCTATATCAAACACTCGACACTGTTCCATGTGGTATCCGGAGAACTCAAAATCAGTATAAACAAACCCTGGAGAAATGCCTGGGCCAAGTTGTTCGAAGGCCGATAATTTTAACCTGGGTTTCTCTCTCATTTGTTTAATAGTATTTTCTTGGATAATTTTCTTGTTACTTTTCAGAGTATCCAATCAACAAATTGCCAACAAAAAGAATTGAACCGAATTTGCTTCTTAAGCTTTCCTATCTGAATTTAAATTTGGCACTAACCCTGGGTTATCTTAACCCTTTCTTGAACAACCATGCCCTGTACCTCGTTTTTTCAACCCACTTCTCTATAACTGGATATCAGATGAGACATTGCATTTCATTTTGGTCTACCACTTCAAAAACTCATTAATAATTCATAAAGAAAAAACAAAAGAAATTAATATTTAATGAATGTCTTTATATCTGATAAAGACACAGCTAAACTTTACATCCAATTTTTTAGACCAAATAACCCCAAATCTAAATATTAGTGCAAGAATGAGTTGATCTTTATCAGAGATTTTGAAGCTGTTCAAAAAGCTCGCAGTCAAGTATTATCAGGCGTAAAAACTCTTGACTTCACCTTGAGTTTTTAAACCTGATAAAACACTCCTGGGCCGAGTTGTTCAAAGCTGGGTTAAGACAACCCGGGGTTTGAACGAGATTTGTATTCAGATTTGAAAGCTTAAAAAGCATTTCCTTTTTAATTCTTCTTGTCTACAAGTTGATGATTGGGACCTCTAAAAATAACAGAGAAAATTATCCGAGAAAATTCTTTTGAACACAAGAACATGAAACCTGGGTTAAGCACTAATTGGCCTTCGAACAACTGGGCCCTGCCATTTTAAACAGTGCTTCAAGCATTTCTTGGCCTTTGACGGTCTTTCCATGTGAAGGCACCTTCATACCATTCGAAAATCATATCTGTCAACTAAGATCACTAATAATCTAGCACACACCATGTCATCTATACCTATGATGTTTAGAAATGATGACAACTATGGCTAAGCTGTTAAAATAAGCAAGAACCTTTGCCAGCTAATGTGAATGTAGCTATTATTGCAGCTGGTGAGATTTGAGCCTTCAGAGAAGTAATTGGTCATAAATCATCGTAGCTTCAATAAAATGGAAAGTCATTATCAACATCCTATGTTCCAGAAGGTTTAAAGGTGGGAGTCAGTACAGAATACAAAGCGAAACTCTCATATTTTGCCTGGAACCCAAATTGCTGTAATGAAATCTACTTCAGTTAAGAGACAGTTTGTGTTTTGATGGTGGAGGAATTCACTTCAGATACAAAGTTTGTATCTGTGACAAAAGCATATCCAAGGAACTGGGGTAGGACTCACTCTCCCCTCCCCCTTCCTGATCTGCCCTGGTAAGGGAAGGCTCTGAAGGCAGGCAATAAATAATATTAAGAATACCTTCCACTTATCCGTAAGACTAGGTTATTAAATAGCAAGGAAGACTGACAACTACAAAAGGAGCTAAAGCAAATAGTTCTCAAAATTATTTTTAAGACTTTTGCTCCAAACTAAATACAAAAAGAAGTGAAAGATGTGACACTCAGTATGTTACAGCCATGAAACAAAGCAAAAATTTGATTCTCCATGAGAGTTGAACTCAAAAGACAAATTTCAAGAGTTAGAAATCTGAGTTTAGAGTTGTCTGCTCTTTGTCTCAAGCTCATGACATACTAAACTTATTTATTAAGCCAATTTACCACTTTGCTGTTCTGAAAGTTAGAAATATGAATGCCACATTTTTATCTGTCTTCACTGCTAAATAATAATTTCAGATCAGAGCAAGCTGGATTTCCCTGAAAAAACAACACATATGGCAGTTTCACTTTGAATACTTTAATGATATTAAGTCTCAATAGACGACACTCTCTTCGAGACAGAGAGAACTGCATAATAATTATTAATTGTATTGGTCAACCCACATGTCACTACCTTGAATGCTGATAAAAACCATAATGGAACATACATGTCATTTTTGCTTTCCATTTTATGAAACTACTATTATATTGTCTAATTTATTTACCCCTAGCTTAGGACAAAAAATTAAAAATATATCTAACAATAATATTCCTCAACGTAGCTTTCAGGGGGTTCCTTTAATATTGACTGTAAACTCTAGAGAAAGGGAACCCCGAGCACCAGGTAGAACAGTACATTGTATTCTAGTTTGTCTGATTTCTTCTGGTCATGCCAGTAGTGTTAATTTAACTCTAACACCATTTTATAGGGTCTTGATTCTAAATAAGTGACATAGTCGATACTTCACAGACACAAGGCATGCCAGAACCATGAAAAGTACCATGTCAAGAAGCCAACATCATTNTCAAGAGTTAGAAATCTGAGTTTAGAGTTGTCTGCTCTTTGTCTCAAGCTCATGACATACTAAACTTATTTATTAAGCCAATTTACCACTTTGCTGTTCTGAAAGTTAGAAATATGAATGCCACATTTTTATCTGTCTTCACTGCTAAATAATAATTTCAGATCAGAGCAAGCTGGATTTCCCTGAAAAAACAACACATATGGCAGTTTCACTTTGAATACTTTAATGATATTAAGTCTCAATAGACGACACTCTCTTCGAGACAGAGAGAACTGCATAATAATTATTAATTGTATTGGTCAACCCACATGTCACTACCTTGAATGCTGATAAAAACCATAATGGAACATACATGTCATTTTTGCTTTCCATTTTATGAAACTACTATTATATTGTCTAATTTATTTACCCCTAGCTTAGGACAAAAAATTAAAAATATATCTAACAATAATATTCCTCAACGTAGCTTTCAGGGGGTTCCTTTAATATTGACTGTAAACTCTAGAGAAAGGGAACCCCGAGCACCAGGTAGAACAGTACATTGTATTCTAGTTTGTCTGATTTCTTCTGGTCATGCCAGTAGTGTTAATTTAACTCTAACACCATTTTATAGGGTCTTGATTCTAAATAAGTGACATAGTCGATACTTCACAGACACAAGGCATGCCAGAACCATGAAAAGTACCATGTCAAGAAGCCAACATCATTAAAGAGCCACTTGTGTTCAAACTTGACCTTCAACACTTCATTTTTCCAATGGCCAACAGCAAATGCACAGAGGAAAATAATGATTAAAACTTTCCAAAATACAAAATACAACATTAATAACTTTTCTCTGTTACTGAAGAATGACGTCGTTCAAGAGATTTGCTCAGCACAGTTTGAAAACAGTTTAATCCTAATCAAGAAAGCTCCCAGTCTCGTCCTCCATTCCCTATAGTCCTGCAAGGTCCTTTTCTTGAATTCTAACAACCACTTTCCACATGAGTGCTATTTCAGCACATTAACCTTGAAAAGCTCGTGCCCTGTCAATAATTATTATCAACGACATTCCCACACTTTAATTGTCATGTCAACACTTCCAGTTAAGACAAAAGGTGCTGATTTGTGGAAATCTGCAATGAAGACAAACAGCAAAAAGAGAGATTGAACAGTCGTGACAGAACCTGGAATTCTTTAAACACAAAGCAAAGATACAAAAACTTCTTATTGTTCCTTAGACATTTGCAAGGGGTGAAGGGTCAAGCAGCTATCTTAAGCATTACATTTTTTTGTCCATGATTTCCAAAAAGACAACTCAAAGTGGAACAAAATCTGTATGACTGGAAATCTTTCAAGAAACAATAGGGAGCCTCAATAAGCAAAGACATTTTCAGGGGTTTCAATAAGCACCGACGGCGACGAAACGCCTCGGCTAGTTTGCTCATAGAGGTCGGCTATTTTTTTCTAGAAAGAAGAAGCAACTGGTTTGAATAACATTGTAAACGAAAAATATATCATAAAATCTGAATGAAAATTTAATTACGGTGCGTTTTCATAAAGGCCCCCTGGGTTACGTTATGCTTTAGTCATGTGAACGCCATATTTCAGTCATTTTTTCACAAGTTTATTTATAGGTTTACGCACAATTTGTTTAAATGCAAAAGTACATAATTTAGTTTTCATCATTTGTTCATTGCTTGTAGGAATTGATTGTGTGACTGATAAATTGAAAGCTGCATTTTCTTGAATGAAAAACACGCTCTTTTGCCCACAAATTTAGTCCCCAGAAAGCTGAAAATCACATTTCAGGGCTTTGAAATGTCAAATTTTCTGGAGCAGAACTCGCCCAGTCTCCCCCTCAAAGAAGAGGAACAACAGCCCCTTGTTCATACAGTTGGTTACTCGATTCAAACCTGCTGACTACTTCAATTTTTATTGAAACCCCTGCATTTTTGAGAATGCATGTCAACCACAAGTGAGACCTTTTCCCTTTTATTACGAATCAACCCAACCAAATTTATGAGGCTGAATGCCTTTATTTTGGAATTATTATTGACCAGAGGATTTGCCCAGAAATTTGCACCAAAAATTGCACTAAAAGTTGACATGCATCACTCAAAAATGCCTTTGCTAGAACTTTGCATTGGTGTAGGATAGGTAAAGGTCCACTAAAAGCATATGTAGCCCAAATGGATGGAGATAAACATGGTTTTAAAAGTAGCAAGGAACTTACCTAAGGTGGTTGCAAAGTGTTCATGAGCGGTAAGAGTTTTAGCACATCGTTTATTTTTGTAATCCCATATTCTAAGAGTTTTGTCATCAGAACAGCTAACTAGATATTTGCCTCTTGGATGAAACATCACCCCACGCACCCAATTATCATGCCCCACCTGTTAGAAAAGAAGAGGGAACACAGGATAAGAAGAAAGATGTAAGGAGTAACTCTTGGTTAATATATACTAGAATAATCTCATCATGAAGAAAATTATATTTTTACACTTTCAATGTAAATGTAGTATCAATGGGGCATTCTTCATGGTGGCCAGTAAGCCTTAGAAGACTGCATCATGGCCAACTGGTTAGCAATAAGCCCCAACTGCAGGCACCCATCAAAGGTAGTGGATCAGTCTCAAGGCCTCATGATGATGATGATGATGATGATGATGATTATCATCATCATAACCATAACAAAATTCCCTTATATAATTGGCTATCGGCAGCCCTAATTACGGCATTGCTAAGACACTGTTATAGGACAGCGCGTGTCGTTGAGCACACACACTTTTATGATTTATTTTTTTTTACTTCTAGCAAAAACTTTTTAAAAATCTTGTGTTTTAATTTGAAGTTATCACAAAATTAATGTTGTTATAGTTATGGCGGGAATAAGACAGCTAGGAATTTCTTTTGGTTCTATTTTTCTTCTATTAGCCGGGGGCCACATTCATAGTAGCCGGGGGAAATCCCCATCCACCACCTCTTAATGACAGCCCTGATGATTTAATACCAAATTGAACTCCGCTCAGTTCTTTTATCATTAAATTTTAGTTTTAATTATTATTATCTCCCCATAAATTTAATACACTTGCTTACAATGAACTTTGTATCACCACTTACCAAGGTCATAAGACACACTCCAGTACTCACATCCCACATTCTGATTGATTTATCACGAGAAGCTGATACTAAAAATGGTCCAGGATTTCCTCCTCTTTTTGGACCCTGTTCAAAAATGGCAAGCAAATAAAATATCATTTTAAAATATAATACTGAGAACCTGTAATATCTCTAATATTCATGATTTACCCAAATAATGTGTTGGAAAAATGGACTGCGTGACCGTCACGCTGTGAAAGTGAACTTTATTCCTTTGATCTAGTTGCTTAGTGATAAGCTGTAATGACGTGATGTAAGGTTTAGGATTTCAAAACCATCTGCGAATCAAGGAGATCTGGCGATTGTATTCATTCCTCATAGCATGAACATTAAATTGTGAAGTGATTCGAGTCTGTTGGTCGCTTTAACGTGAATATTATCGGGAAAATCTCTTGTGTTAGAAGCAATCGGAAGATTCCTGACAAATGAACTAATTGATAAATGAAAGATCTGGGAAGGCCCTATGTAACTCCCATTCTAACATCAAAATAATTCTCCCTGTGATTTACAACCATACATAAAGGAAATGAGAATGACAATCTAACACTTTATCAGAGGTCACTTTAGGCTTGATTCCAGACACCACTTTAACTAAATATATTCTGTACTGAACTAAAATAATGGAAATTTCAGAACGTGTATCTGACACAACAAAGGAGCAGAGTTAACAGTTTTGGGAGAGTGACATGTTTAAGATCACAATGCAAAGTTTATCAAGAAAGGTAAAGGTCATCATCAATATACCAACTAAAATTGGCCATTAATATTCTTTTCAAGGAGAATAACAACTTTTACTATATAAACACCGATGAAATACCAGGTGAGCTTTCCCGCAAAAACATTATATCTTCACAAGTGAAAATATCACTGTTGTTATGGCTACATAATAAATCGCGCCTTTCGCAGGAAAAAAAGTGTTTCAGTGAAATGGTTTGGTATTTCATTGGTGTTTACATAATAAATAAAACATTACATGGCCGCTTGGAGATACGAAACTTCTCTTCGAGTGTTGAAAATATTTCACTCGTTCGCAATATTTTTCAACACTCGAAGAGAAATTTCGTATCCGCGTGGCCATGTATATCCTCTATATATTGAGATCAGATATTAATACAGTCAACTCTCTCTGAGAAAAACACCTTTGGGATCTGCACTAAGCATCCGTCTATGAGTGATGTCCACCTCATAAGAGTCAAATAAGGGGAGTAAAGAAAGCAGGGACCAACTCTAGGCATCAGTTTTACAGCAGCATTCGTCTTATGGGGGTGTCTGTTAACAGAGAGTCAACTCTAATCTAAAACTTCATGCCCCCTGAAAACCCGAAGTAGAGAATTACCTCAATTCCTGCCGCTTCAATCACATAAGGGTTTGCAGCTTCTGGGGCCCATGACACATCCTCTACTACATGTTCATGATCTCTCAAGTCACATTTACATTCTTTTGTTGCTACCACCCACACACGGATTGTCTGCAAAGAAATTTGCAATCTGACATAAATTTCCACGCTGTTTTGCCAACTACCATGGGAGTAAATACATGTACAAATATGCAATCAATCGTTAGCATACAATTCTACAGTTTCAATTTTTTCAATCCCTATTATGGACAGCAAAACTTTTAAGATTCCACACTCCATTGAGTTACAAAGCAACACAAATAAACAAACTACATGTTAGTTCATTTAAGAGGTCATGCAATGGATTTCATCCACAGACACAAAAGTCAACATTACAGGCAGCTCTTCCAAGAGGTTGATTTACACGGTACAACTTTGTTACATGCGATGTGTTTTAAAAAAAACCTTCAACCCAAATCATAGCCTGTAAATCAAACTTTGAATAGCTGCAAGTAAGTTGTAAGTGAGATGTACACAATACAACTCATGTCGTAGCATTATTGTAACACATTGAATGTGAGAAAGTTGTGCCATGTAAATCGGTCTTAAGAAGACTGCAGTTGGAAATAACACTTATACATTGTAACTGCTTGCCCTAGTGAAGTGTATACTGTATACTGTTTACTAGTCAGACGTCAAAGAAAATGACTGAGTGGTCATGCTAAGAATTCATCCACAGACAGAAAAGACAACATTACAGGCAACTCTTCCTAGAGGCTGATTAACATGGTACAACTTTGTCACATGTGATGTGCTTACAATAGACCTTCAACCCAAATCATAGCTTGTAAATCAAACTTTGGATAGCTGCAAGTAAGTTGTAAGTGAGATGTACGCAATACGAGTCGTCATTAGATTCTTGTAAGCACATTGCATGCAAGAAAGTTGTGCCACGTAAATCGGTTTTAAGAAGCTGCAGTTGGAAACAACACTTATACACTATAACTGCTTGTCCTAGTGAAGTGTATACTGTATACTGTATACTGGTCAGTCAAGGAAAATGACTGAAACGTAGCAGAGACCAAATCTAGGTCTTAAGTACAGTGTATGTTACTAAAAGAGAACAAAATGTATATGTTATTTACATTTCCACAGGGTAAAGACTTAAGTATCCTCTGACATTATGTCACACAATAAATACATACAGTATGCACCTTAAAATTTCTGTTAAACTATACTTTAAAATATTATAAAGAGGACAGGAATGTAGAAGTAGGTTTTTTTACCTGGTCATTTGAGCAACTTGCTAACAAAGAACCTGATTGTGAAACGGAAGCAATATTAAAAACCCATTAATTTTAAAGTTGCAACAATTTAAGAATGCCTGTTCATCACTTCAAGAGTATGCTGTATATTAATATTTAAGTAATTTAATATTAATTGTAAGTAAGTTTAAGTAATAAACTTTAGGTAGCATAATGTTAGTATAGTGTCCCCAATTAGAGAGCGTCATGGTGAGCAGAAAAAAGACACTCTTAAGTGATTGCTTGGTGTTGATATGACCATCAGTAATTTCTAACTACCTCTGACATAAAACCTAAACAATGTTGTGAACTATTAGGGACCTTAAGCAACAAGAATGTCAAAAATGGCAACCAGAAGTTGATATTTTCTCTCTTTCAGTGCTACCTCAACAAATTCATACAGCAGGAGTTAAAACAAGGGCATTCAGAGTTGTGTGAGACAAAAGTGTTCCATCAAGTGAGACATAGATCTTCCAGTCGCTATTCATGACGTCCAGGATGTCAGCCTTCTCGTTGCTTAAGCTTACTATTATGTCTTCATAAAACAGTCAACTGGATGAAAAAAGGAGGGCAAGGAGAATTCTATAATCTCCAAACCTTGAAAATGATCAAACGTGCAGAACTTACCATCATTGCTAACACGTACTCTTCTGACCCACTCTCTATGACCTTGGAAAGTCTTCACACAAAAACTATAAAATCAGATTACACCATGAGTTCACCCATTAGTGAGGGGAACAAGGGTAATGAAGTGGCAAGTTACAAATTACTAATGAAGACTCACAAATTAATAATTATTTGAATATTTTAACATTTACATTATCCACAAGGAAAGTGTGCCGGCAAGTGACAGATAAATAACTATATTCATCACTTATTATCTTTGGTATTTCCATTTTCTCAATGACAATAACAAACAAAGTCAGCCCTTAGTGACACTTACCCAGAAGCAACTTCCCACATTTTTATAGTTTTATCTCTAGATGATGACACTAAATAATCTCCTGATGGCAGAAATGTCACTGACGAGACATTATGGTCATGTCCTGTTTTTTGTTAAAAAAGAAAGATCTTCATCAATACCATTTCAGAAGAGAACAAACTCAACAAAATTTCAGGCAGACAGTTTTTTAAAGACTTGTTCAAACTTTAGTACACAAAATTAACAAATCACGCACAGCAAAAAAACACACCCACCAGTTAAAGTTTTGACGCACTCAAATTCGTGGAAATCCCATAATTTAATGGACATGTCAGCAGAACATGACGCTAAAATAACAATAAATATGATAAGTATCAGTCAACTACCATACTGTCCAAGCAACTATGAATATTAATTTACAATTTTAGTCACACGCAGGACAAGAGGGTATAACTAATATTAGAAAAGGTTGGCACTTTATCAAGGGATGCTGTTAGTTTTCCTTTAACAAAGTGACATCCTATTTTGACAAACTCTTCCTATCGAAAACATCGCCAACATCCTCTTAAATTTTAAAACAATTATTTTTGGTTTTGTTCACAAGATCTTGAACATTGGATCTATTGGTTTGGGTTCAAGCCTTGCCATCACATTGGTATAGGATTTAATGGAGCCAAAACCAATTGTGGAATTGCACGCATTTTAGGCATCCTACTGATGAACAGTTGCAACACGTAGATATATACATTTTTAGCAACTACTATAATTTGCAGTCTGTCCACTTTGAATTGATTCCTAAACAAAAAATTTGCTCCACATGTACCATGGCTTACAAGAGGTTTCAGCTGTAGCACATTAACTGGAAACACTGTTCAGTATCTTGGTTCTGTGGCTCATAGGAGGTGGTCCCTTGAGAGAAGCTCACGCATGCAGTTTTGACTGTATCTAACAACATTAGTCTCCAGCCAATATTGTTTGTGATAGCAATAGAAGTCAGAATCACTAGCTCATTGTAGAATCGTTTTTACCTAATATTTTTCCGGTATGATCAAATGATAGATCCTGTACAGCATCTGTGTGACCCTTCAGGGTCCGTTCGAAGTCTCCAGTTTCATAGTCCCAAACTTTAACTGTAGCATCTTCTGATGCTGTTACCATGACACTTCACAGGGAAAAATAAAGGAAAAAATATAGATGTCAACGACATCTCTCTTCACTAAATATAAACAAAAAGGTTGTACAGACTGTAGATCGAATTCTCCAAAGCAACAGCTACTAAGTACATATCCCTATCTAAACAATACTTAACCCTCAGAACCAACAACAGAAAATTGTTCTTAATTCTAAACCTGTGGACATCTGAATCTTTTGGGGATACCTCTTTCAATCAGGGTCATGGAAAGATAAAAATTTGTCAGCCCCACCAATGCATTTTTCACTTAACCCTTTAAGCCCCAATATCCACATACACATTCTCCAAACTGATCTCCATACATCTCCTTTAGGAATTAGTTGAGAGAATTTGATAAAAGATCTTGCAATTTTCTCTATGGTGATCATTTTATTAATTCTCATAACTTCATCTCTTGAAAATGTATGGATATTGTTAGGAGAAAATTAATGTTGGTCACTATTTGGACTTAAAGGGTTAAGAAATGACAAAGGGAACTAGAGTCAAAATGCATCCTGCAAGTATCTCTGGGATTATTACTGGAGACGTACTGGCCAGCTATTAGCCAATTTTTTCCCCTGTCTCTAGTAACAGTCTCAGAAGTCTTTGCAAAAGTAAACTTGGCTTAGTTTTCTTCTCTTCTGACAAAAGACCAAAAAACTAAATTAACTCAATTTACAGTTTTACTGCAGTATATACTAAAAGTTTTACCTATACACTGGGTGGAATAAAACTTTGGTAACTGGGCTTCTGTGGCCAGTCAGAGCATATCTGTCACAGAAAAAAAGTCACATTAAAGAATTGTCAGACATTTTAAACCTTTTTTTTAAATAAGAGAGAGACTACAAGTGGAAGAATGTAAACATGTGACAAAGAGTGTACAGATGACAAAGAAAGTATTCACAACAAAACCCAAAAGGTCCTTGACTTTTTGCTACATTCATGTAGGAATTACAACACACTTACGCCGTCAAACCAAATCAAATAATGTCTGCTCTAACCTTTCTGGAGGTCTAGGCATCCAGTCTTCTGGAGAGCGGTTTTTGCTCACTACAGACCCCGTATTGGCCTCTTTCTCTGCCTCTGACAATCTGGCTTCTAAATCCATAACCTAAAGGGATATTTGAGAAAATACAACTTAATCATAATGCAGCTAGTCATTTCTCTAGCTATATATCAATTTGTTAAAAGCGAGATTTAGATTTATTTTTACCGGTGTGCAAAGAAAGTTGTGTCTGCTAGCCCGAGGCTACTGGATTTTGCTATTGGGGCTCATGAATTCTGTTGTTACTTACTTGTGAAGTGTTTTGGGGGACTCAAATAACAGTAAGAAGTGTAATCAATCCTGTTCACAAATTTTCTTTTTTTAACTGACAAAAGATGGCACCAAACGTTTTTACTGCAACATGCCTTTGGGTGGGTGCAAGTCAGCTGAAAACAGCCACTTTGTCTCTACAAATAGCTAGTCATGAAATACTTTTGGAACAGCCCTCTTTGAAAAGCAACACACTGAGTGCTCCACTAGGAATTTCATATTCAGCAATTTTGTTACTTCTGCGTCCTGCATCGCTGATACCTAAAAATGCCGAAACATGCAAAAAAATTCATAACATGCATCCCATAGGACGCAAGATTGATTGATCAATCTGAAGATTGTTTTTATAGAATATCCTGTCCCTGTGATTTCTGCAGTTGTTTTTGTGGCTGTTATGTAAGTATGCGTACTTGTTTTAGTCTCTTTTGAGCTTTAAATAGAAGGAATATATTTTCAATGCAGTAAACCCCAATAAAGAGTTTTGGAGTCTGTCCTCAGATTAACTGTCTGGTTACATAGAGGCCCAAGCATTTTGATTTTAGGACTTTTTTTTTTTAACTGGGACTCGATGGTTCTCATGATTTTTCATAAGATGAGTCCCAGGACTCACCATAACATTACTATTTGTAACAAAATCACTGCATATTGGGATTCAATTTTATCCTTGGTCAATCCTTTCCCCTTTACTTGAGGAGGGCAGGGTAATGTATAATAATGAGGTTAAATCCTAGGAAAATACATTTTAAAACCAAGGATGAAAATGAGCCACAACATACATATATGACTTGTCAGTAACTGTGCTGTCCTCATAAAATGTCCTAGGATTTAATGGAACTTAAACCAACATGTGGAAATGCACACCTTCTACGTAGATCCTTCTGATCAACAGTTAGCACATATAGGTAAAAACAAAATTTGGTCTCTGTTCCCATAAAATGTCTGCAGGCTGGTAAAGTCAAGTACTTATAAAGTAATACACTCAAACCTCTATAAAGCAACCACCTTAGGCCCAGGGAAGGGACAAGACGTCGCATTATA